TGAGCTGCGCCTGGACAGGTGAGCTGCACTTGGACAGGTGAGCTGCTCCTGGGCAGGTGAGCTGCTCCTGGGCAGGTGAGTGACAGAGAACAGAATACCTGTGGATCATCTGTTTTGATGTGACAAGTGACAGCAGAGGAAATACACAGACTGTAAATCAGGGCTATTCAACTGGCGGCCCGCGAGCCACTTCTGGCCTGCAGGTGACTTCAGTCCAGCCGACCAATGAGTTCATAATTTCTGGGAGGGGTGTTGCGTTTTGGGTTTGGGTTCTGTTTACTGCATTTATGATTCAATGCAATAAAATAAACAAATTTAAATGGTAACAGATCATTGTAGTACTTGGTTTATTACACAGTGACTTTAATTCCTTATGTCCGACTCCAGAGCTGCTGGCTCAGAAACTGTGACCCCCTGAGAAGTTTAGTTGAATAGCCCTGCTGTAAAGAGATAGATTATTTATTTGTTTTTGTATTTATTTAATCTTTATTGATCCAACTAGTCTCATTAGCCACGTTTACATGGACGTAAGTAATTGGATTAAACAGCCATTCAGAATAAAATGCATCACGTAAACGCCCCATTCAGATTATTCTGACGTGATTCAGCTCGATCCGAATTAATTTGTAATCCGATTGAGAAGGGGTGGTTTATGCCGATTCATTATCTGAACGGTGTGCATGTAAACACTTAATCTGATCATCTTATTCTGATTGTGGAAAACTGACCTGACTGCGCATGTGCGACATATGTCAACCTCATGTATTTCTGCCTGGCTAGATGCTAGCATGTTGGGGAAGCAAAATTGGTCGTGAGCGACACATCTCTACTAGAAACTTTGAAAGAGCTCAAAATGATTGAACTCCTTGCTTCGCCTGTAGCTCAGTCAGGTCTCTCTTGTAAATGAGTCCCCGAGGCTCAATGGGATTAACCTGAATAAATAAAGGTTAAACGAAAAGGGGAGTGCAGTAACGTCTCCACCGTCATTAAAACCTAGCGCGGGTCCATTTTGGGCGCCCAGGTTTGTTTATGTTCATCACGTAAGTAGAACTACTTCTTTGTTTTTTAAGGAAAGTTTACCAGTCTGTCATGTCAGTACTTGTATTCTGAGTAAAAGCTTGTAAACGCTCGTCATGATCGGATTGTGCCCGTGTAAATGATACATTTGGATTATGTAATCTAAATACATTTCAATACGATCAAAGAATTTTGTGCATGTAAACATAGTGAGTGAGTCATGAGGACTCATTTTCAAGAGAGACCTGTTTGGGAGAAGATGGTGGGGGTTAAAAGCCTTGCTCAAGGGCCCAGAGTGGGGCAAATGAGGGTGGAGGCAGGTGTGGGTGCTTCACCTTTTCTACCCACATTTTGATGTTGGTCCGGGAAGTCTAACAGGTGACCTTCCAATCACAGGCCCACCTTTTCTAACCTCTGCGCCACCGCTCCCTTATTAATTATTAATCCCAGAGAGGAAATGTGAGGCATCCAGTAGCATTTGCTAAAAGTTAGAATACAAAAAAAAATAAATCATAATACACAAAATCAAAAAAAGACAAACATGCAAATGCACAAGATAGTAGGCGGTAGCACATTCATGATGAATTTATATGTGTATACACATACATACACACACACACAGGGGGATATGGTTTAAAGTGTCCGGGGTGCTGCAGATTTACGAGGCTCTATTTTTACTGTATGGGGAGGAGTTGAACATTCTGATGGATTGAGGGACAAAGGACTTCCTGAATATGTCTATGGAGCAGGGCTGGGCCAGAAGTCTACCACTGAAGGACCTCCTCTGCTTTATGATGGCGCCATGCAGAGGATGGTCAGCATTGTCCATGATGGACAGCAGCTTACTGAGGCCTAAGTTCTCTGCCACTGACTCCAGCTCTGTTCCCAACACAGAACCAGCGTTCCTCACCAGCCTGTCGAGTCGCCCTGCGTGTCTCCTCTTAACTCTGCCTCCTTAACAAACAGCAGCACAAAAGAGAACACTGGCTACCACAGACTGGTAGATCATCAGCAGTAGTTTCCTGCAGACACTGAAGGACCCCAGTCTCCTCAGGAAGTAGACCCTGCTCTGACCCTTCCTGTAGAGGGAGTCCGTGTTCACTGACCAGTCCAGCCTGTCATCCAGTTGTATGCCCAGAGGTTTGTAGGTCCTGACCACCTCCACATCGAACCCCTCCATTGAGATGGGCTGCAGGGTAGGCCCAGACCTTCTGAAGTCCACTGCCATTTTCTTTGTCTTACTGATGTTCAGCTGTAGATGGCTGGATTTGCACCATGCTACAAAGTCCTCAACCAGGGTCCGGTACCCCTCATTCTGTCCATCCTGCACATTCCACACAAATCTGCACAAATAAGACAGAACATCAGGTGTTTCTGCTGAGCTCATCTGTGGTCACATTACCTGTCCTCTCCCCTGACTTCTGTCCTCAATTTGTCCCTCAGGTGGACTTTCCTACATCATCCTTTGAGGTGTGCTTCAGCACCCCCCGTCCTGCAGACTTCTGTCCTCAGTACGACTTCAGCCGATTGGACTCCACTAGTCAGGTCCAACTCCAGGACGTCCTCCACAAGAAGGCTGTCTTCTGGTCAGACACCCTCACACACTACGCTAGTTCACACTGATGTACACTCTACACAAAACAGATACACACAAATACACAATATATTGTTGTTTTTCAGTCATTCGTGTAAATTTAATGTCGTTTTGTGTTGTTTTTGTGGTGATCCAGTGTTATTCCCGTGATTTTACCATGTTTTCCTCGTGTCGTGTTTTTGCAGGCTGACGTCGGAGGACAAACGTTTGTTGTGGGAGAAGAAGGCCTTTTGTCAGTCGGAAAGCGGGGCACTGCCTTTGGTCCTCGCCAGCGCCCCCTGCTGGCAGTGGGCTTGTCTACCTGAAATCTACGCTCTGCTCCGTCAGTGGGCGTGTCTGGGTCACCTGGACGCTCTGGGACTGCTGCACGCCTCGTATGTGCTTACCTGTCTGCATTAAGCCAATAATAACGTTTACACTTATTGACAAACAACAAACAGTGTTTACGTCCAGAACAAACACATCTGAACTTTTTACATCCATCATCCATCCGTCATCTGGTTCTGGACTCAGGTCTTGGGGGCAGCAGCATAAGCAGGGAGGTCCAGACATATCTCTCTGCAGCCACTTCTTCCAGCTCTTCTGGGAGGACTCCAAGGTGTTCCCAAACCGAGAGACGTAGTCTTTCCAGCATGTCCTGGATCTTCCCCAGGGTCTCCTCCCAGTCGGACATGTTGGCATCCAACTGCACTTCTCACCGTATATCCAAGAGCGAGTCCAGCTACCCTGAAGAGAAAACTCATTTAGACCTCCAGTATCCGTGATCCTGTTCTTTCAGTTACTACCCAGAGTTCTTGACCATAGGTGAGGGTAGGAACATAGTAATGATTTAGTAATGTAGTAATGATAAACAAAGAGCTTTTCCCTACAGCTTAGCTCCCTTAGCACCACAACGGGCAGGAACAACGTCCGTAATACTGCTGAAGCTGCACCAATCCATCTGTTGATCTCCCGCTCTAATCTTTTCTCATTTGTGAACAGAATCCTGAGATACACGAATTCCACTTGAGACAGAACCTCCCCCCATAGAGCTGCAATTTTTGGCCTGAGCCCCCGCTCGACACGACCTGAAATTCGGGACATGTTGTGTTAAAATTAAGTGCTTGATGGCCGGGTCGGTGTCAGGCTCGGGCTTTTGATGCGGTTTTAATTGCGCATGTGGCCCCGCCTGCCCTTTGCTCTTATCACACATCTGAGGATTTTCAATTGACCCACAACAAGCGACGTGATGGAGCTGGAAAGTGTTAAAACAAAAGCTAAAAACATGAGAACTCACTCTACAAAGCCAGCACAGTGAAACCTGCTGATGTGTGTCAGGTCAGAACAATTAGTAATTGTTAGTGGAAGACCACGAGAAGGGAAACGTGTCAGGAGACGGAGGGAGAAGAGGAAAGTCAAGAGTGTAGGACTGAGGATAGAAAACCTAGATTTAGGGAAACTGACAGGCAAAGGTAGGCTGGCATGATGCAGAGACGGAAAGTTGTGGAAGCTAGACAGACAAAAGTTGACTGTTACTAACAGTATGGTTTCATGCTAAAAAAGAACACCACAGACACCATTTTTGCTTTAATGATGCTAATGGAGAAGTGCAGAGAGGCTCAGAAATAACTTTGTTGTGTCTTTGTGGATTTAGAATCTAAAATTGAACTCAAGAGTCAAAGGTCAGAACATAAAAGTTGTGTCTTCCCGTGTGCCTCAGATTCCCAGATCAGGAGTTGAGGAGGACAGCGGTCCAGTGGATGGACTCTATTTCTGACCCAGAGCTGCTGGACTTCCTGCCTCAGCTGGTGCAGGTAACACTGCAGAAAAGCTGCCTGACAAACTGAACTTTATTGTTTCTGGACTGAATTCCAGAGAAAGCAGGGAGGGTTAGGGTCTGTACAATTCACAAACACTAAAACAGAATCTCTGCAGATAATCTCATTCAGTTCTTGTGTTGCTGCTGCGCTGGGACCAGATGGTTAAAAACTGTTCTCTGTCTTAGGCACTGAAGTATGAGTGTTACCTGGACAGTTCTCTGGTCCGGTTCCTCCTTCGGAGAGCCATCGGGGACATTCGGATTGCACACTACCTCTTCTGGTGAGCTGCTGCTACGTCATTGCATAAACACAAACACTGGTCTTTAATTCTTGTGTTCTTGTCCATTCATGAACAGGCAGAAATCCATCCGTTAACCAGTCTCTTCTCCGCCTTAGGCTGCTGAAGGATAACCTGCAGGACAGTCAGTTCAGCGCTCGGTACCAGCACCTCCTGGCTGCTCTGCTTTGCTGTGTAGGTCGAGCTCTGAGAGAGGAGTTTGACCGTCAGTGCTGGCTTGTCTCCATCCTTACAAAGGTGGCTCAGAGAGTTCGGGATGCCACGCCATCCAGCAGGCAGGTGGGTCTGATGTTCAGTTAGTGACGATCAGTACAAGAAGTTAATCCTTATTGTTTTTAGTTAAAGAAGAAAAATAGTTTCAGGATATTTCAGGATTTGTAGATGTGCTAGTGTAGATTCTAAGTTATCCAGGTCATGAAGAATCTGAAACAAAAATAAAAAACAAAGCAATTAGATTTCTATTCTGTATTTAAAGACGTTGCATTTTCCATCCAGGGGATTTAACAGTTTTACAGTTCTTAAATCAGAAAGGCTCCTTGGATCTCTAAAGATTTGGTTGAAGCAATGGAGGGAGATATTTTGAAGGAAGTGGGCATGATCGTTCGGAGAAAGTGAGTTTCGTCATTCGGAGGAAGCAAGCTCCATCACTCTAAGAAAGTAAGCGTGATGGTTCAGAGGAATTGAGCGTGATCGGTCGGAGAAAGTGCCAACGATTGTTCTGAATTGTTCGGAGGAAGTGAGTGTGATCATAAGAGCCATTCTGAGGAAGTGAGCCAAATCATTCTGAGTTGTTCGGAGGAAGTAAGTGCGATGTTCGGATGAAGTGGGTGCGATCGTCAGTCATTCAGAGGAAGTGAACGTGATCGGTTGGAGGAAGTAAATGCGACCATTTGAAGGAAGTGAATGCAATCGTTTGGAGGAAGTAAATGCGATCATTCGAATCAAGCGAGCATGATTGCTTGGAGGAAGTGAGCGTGATCATTTGAAAGAAGCAAGTGTGGTCGTCTGAGTTGGTCAGAGGAAGAAAGAGCATTGTTGGAAGTAAGTGAGCGTGATAGGTCAGAAGTGAACACAATCTGTCGGAGGAAGTGAGCGCGATCATCTGAGTCTGTCAGAGGAAGAAAGCGTGATCATTTGAAGGGAGTGAGCATAATCGGTTGGAGGAAGAAAGCGCGATCAGTTGGAAGTGAGCACGATCTGCCAGAGGAAGTGAGCGCAATCGGTTGGAGGAAGTGAGTGTGATCGGATGGAGAAAGTGAGCTTGGTCGGAGGAAGCAAGTGTGATTGGTTGGTGGAAGTGAGCACGATTGTTCGAAGGAAGTGAGCGCGATCAGTCAGAGGATGTGAGCATGATCGGTCGGAGGATGTTAGCAGTATCATTCGGAGGAAGTGTGCTCGATGGTTCAGAGGAAATCAGTGCGACTGGTCACAGGAAGTTGGCACGATCTGTCGGATGACGTGAGCACAATCGTTTGGAGGAAGTGAGTGTGATCATTCGGAGGATGTGAACGCAATCGGTCAGAGGATTTGAGCGCGATTTGTTGTATAATGTTTGTTAGCAGGATCGTTTGGAGGAAGTGAGTGCTATCGTTCAAATGAAGTGAGCTAGATAGTTTGGAGGAAGTGAGCGCAATAGGTTGCAGGAAGTGAGTGTGATCTTTCAGGGGAAGTGAACGTGATTGGTCGGAGGAAGTGAGCGCGATTGGTCGGAAGTGAGTACAGTCTGTCGGATGAAGTGAGCACAATCGTCGGAGTCGGTTGAAGGAAGAAAGCACGATAGGTTGGAAGTGAGCATGATCTGTCAAAGAAAGTGAGCGTGATCGTTTGGAGGAAGTGAGCGTGATCAGTTGGTGGAAGTAAGTGCAATAATTTTGAAGGAAGTGAGCGCAATTGCTTGGAGGAAGAAAGTGCGATGGTTTGAAGGAAGTGAGCACGATTGGTTGGAGAAAGAGAATGTGATCGTTCAAAGGAAGACGTGCTTAATTTGAGCCGGATCCTGCCAGAACAAGATCCGGGAACTCTCTCATTTTTGACTGCTCAAATCCGACAACTCAAATCTCCGCCCCTAAAAGTCCAAAGTCATTGCGCATTTTTATTTTGATTATTTATTAAAGATACAACAAGAGGAGATGTTGCCCAGTCTGTGGAGTGGATGTTCCAGCTGCACCACACTCCTGCCCAGCAGAGACGCGGACTGCATGTCCCTCGGGGAGCGTCTTCATCCACCTTCAGCTGTGCGCCCTACAGACTTTACGCACAGCGTCTCCAGACAGCTCTGCAGGACGTGCACACAATGCACAATCATTTGGAGGAAGTGAGCACGATCATAGAATGGGAACGTAATCAGTCAGAGGATGTGAGCGCGATTGGTAGTAGGATGTAAGCATGATTGTTCGGAGGAAATAAGTGCGATCGTTCGGAGGAAGTGAGCTCGATAGTTTGAAGAAAGTGTGCGCCATTGGTCAGAGGAAGTGAGTGCGATTTTTTTAAGGAAGTGAACACGATCGTTTGGAGGAAGTGAGAGAGATCGTCAGAGTCTGTTGGAGGAAGTGAGTGCAATCATTCGGAGGAAGTGAGCACGATCGTTTGGAGTCATGGAATTTTTCAGTCATGAAACATTTTCCTGAGCTGTAGTCACCAGTGTCCTGCAGAAGATAGTCACACCTCAGAGGCTTGACACTGTGTGTTTATTTATTTGTTTGTGTGTGTTGTTCAGTGTATCCTCAGAGACAGTCTGGAGGACTTAAAACAATTCTTCACAATGAACAGCAGCTGCAGACTTCCTCTCAACCCAGCGCTGCTCGTCACAGGAATCAACATTCAGGTAAGTGTAACATGCAGACCAACTCACCTGAACTGAGACCAGAACTGCATCGTGGACCATCAACATCTGGATTAACCTGGTCTCAGCTTAAAGTTTTGGGACTAGTTAGTAGGATTTGAGTGAGAACGATTTCTGAAAATGTTGTTTGATTCCAGACTTCAAACAGAACAATTCGATCATTTATGTTTTCTGACTGCAGGCAGATCCAGAAAACAGTTCTTCAGAACATTTCTCAGATCACATTGGGTTTATGTTCCATCAGGTTCCATCAGAAAGTATTGACCAAATGTTCTGACTGATAACAGAATCTAAACTTCCTTAAAAAGTTTCACCAAAACATGAGAGAATGGTCAGAGGAGAACCTGAGGTAGAACCAGAACCAACAGAACCATATTCACGTCCTGACTGCTTTGTTTGTTTTCAGTCATGTTCCTTCTTCAACTCCAACGCCGTCCCTCTCAGGCTGTCCTTTCAGAACCTGGACCCTCTGGGAGACCACATCAATGTCATCTTCAAGGTAATACCTGTCCTCACTCAGGTGAGCTGACACCTCGTGACCTTTCAAAACTAACGTGTCTGTCTCCGTCCAGTCAGGAGACGACCTGCGACAGGACATGCTGACCCTGCAGATGATCCGCATCATGAACAAGATCTGGATACAGGAGGGTATGGACATGAGGATGGTCATCTTCAAATGCTTCTCCACGGGCAGAGGACGAGGTGAGGACAGACAGGGACACACCTGCCTGCATGTGTATACCTGTTTTTTATTTGTAGAACAGGCATTTAATGGGTGGACACTCCTGTAGGATATGGTTTAGTTTCCAGGTGAGTCTGTAAGCTCTGTTTCTGTCCCACCTGTCCCCAGGTATGGTAGAGATGATTCCTCATGCCGACACTCTGAGGAAGATCCAGGTGGAACACGGAGTCACAGGATCATTCAAAGACCGAACTTTGGGCGACTGGCTGCAGAAACACAACCCTACAGATGAGCAGTATGACAAGGTAACACATACACACAAATGCACACACACACACAGGTGAGTGTCTTACCTGTCTCAAGTTTCTCAAAGTTTAGATTTGAATCTTGATATCCACAAACAGGAGTCTGATAAAGTCATGTTTTACACGTAGAAGCACTGCTGTTTGCCGAGTTGAAGGCTTTTACTGCAAAGCTTTCCAGCTTTAGGAGGAAGCTGAAACTTGAACGAACGCCTCTGTGTGCTGTTCCACCTGTCAGGCAGTGGAGAACTTCATCTACTCGTGTGCCGGCTGCTGCGTGGCCACCTACATCCTGGGAATTTGTGACCGCCACAACGACAACATCATGCTGAAAACCAGCGGTCACATGTTCCACATCGACTTCGGGAAGTTTCTGGGACATGCGCAGATGTTCGGGAACATCAAGCGGTGAGGGGCTGTCCATGTGCTCCACTCATACCTGCTGACGGTTTGTTGAGTCAGCATTGACCTCTGATGTGACCCGGCAGGGACCGCGCCCCCTTTGTCTTCACCTCTGATATGGCATATGTCATCAACGGAGGAGACAAACCGTCCAGCCGATTCCACGACTTTGTAGATCTGTGCTGCGAGGCGTACAACATGATCCGCAAGCACACACACCTGTTCCTCAACCTGCTGGGCCTGGTATGTAGAACTCACACTTACCTGGTGTTACAGGTTACACTTTACACACTTTACACTCTGTGTTAATTTACAGACTTTATACTGTACTTAACACACTTTACACACTGTGTTAGTTTACAGACTTTACAGTTTACACATTTTACACTCTGTGATAATTTACAGACTTTATACTGTTCTTTACACACTTTATGCACTGTTAGTTTACAGACTTTACACTTTACACTGTGTAAGTTTACAGACTTTACACTTTACACACTGTTAGTTTACAGACTTTACACTTTACACACTGTGTTAGTTTACATACTTTACACACTGTTAATTTACACACTTTGCACATTGTTAGTTTACAGACTACACTTTATGCACTCTGTTAGTTTACAGACTTTACCCTTTGCATACTTTACACACTGCGTTAGTTTACAGACCACACTTTACACACCTCACACACTGTATTAGTTTACAGACTTTACGGTTAACAGTTTGTACACTACACAGTTCAGAGAACACAGTTAAGTTCATTTAAAGTTCAATTTCAGGTCTCTTGTAAAATGAGTCCCCAAGGCTCAGTGGGATTAACTTGTTTAATTACAGGTTGAATGAAAAAAGTTATCTTGAGACAGTTCACATTAAAATTTGTGTTTGTGACAACTGTACAGGAGAATTTTACCTGTCCAGCTCAGAACTGATTCATTAAGTAAAATTTAGAGTACTAGTCATAAAATCAGTTTCGCATAAAATTTAGGATGAAAGACTTTACACTCTCTTAGATTTGACTTTGTTTCCGTGCGCTCAGATGTTGTCCTGTGGAATTCCTGAACTTTCTGATCTGGATGATCTGAAATACGTCTACGATGCTCTGAGACCTCATGAGTCCGAGGCCGACGCCACCATGTACTTCACCAGGTATACATCCACAGACTCACCTGCGTCTCTCACCCACAGGGACCTCTCACCTTGAGATGTATTTCGTATAATTTCTTTAATGAAAATTTGAAGTTGTAGCAAACTGAATAAACTGAGGATGACATCACCACTCTGTGGATGTAGGCGGAGCTTTACTGTTAGGAGTGCAGCAAACCTTTTTAGAGGCGGAGCTTTGCTGTTGTTGTTAGCTTATCCTATAGATTAAAACAGCTTGATATGAACACAGTTATTTATTTCAGTAAATGAGCAGGAATCAAACCATCAGCTCCTCTAATGGTCTGTGTTCTCCAGGTTGATTGAGTCCAGTCTGGGCAGTGTCGCCACCAAACTGAACTTCTTCATCCACAATCTGGCTCAAATGAAGTTCACCTCATCAGAGGATCGGCCCACGCTGTCGTTTGCTCCCAGAGTCCACACTGCAAGGAGTGATGGCATTATCAAGAACCTGTACATCTGCAAATACATCCGCACCGCCACCACTGGCAAGGGCTATGTGAGTACTGACCCATCACCTAAAGTTTAAAATCATACGTTTGCATACATCTGACAGAAGAACCTGTCAGAAAGATCTTCAACTTGCACTTCCATGAGAGCTTTGACCACATCCAAGCTGAGGTGGGGGACATTGAGTCAGAGTTTACCATGTTCCGCGCCTCAGTTGTTGAGGTGGCTGCCTTGAGCTGTGGCCGCAAGGTTGTCGGCGCTTCTCGGGGTGGCCATCCATGATCTCTGTCTTGGACACCCCGGGTTAGGGAGTCTGTCAAGCTGAAGGAGGAGTCTTTTCTGACCTTGTTGGCTGGTGGGACTCTGGAGGCATCTGAGGAGTACCAGAGGGCCAAGCGGTCCACAGCCTTGACTGTTCAAAGATTCAAGATTCTTTGTCCTTCGTGGTGGAACAAAACTGTGTACACAGGGTCCCAGTTACATCCAACAAAATTATTAAAATGTAGAAGAAAAACAGTAATAAGATCTAAGATATGAACTAAGAAAAACGTTAACTAAAATCACACTAAGCACTAGTAGCATAAAAACAATACGCCGAACAGCAGCACGAACATGAGTCTGTGTGAGCAGATGAGTAGGAATAAACACAGCAACATGAAACAGATCAGCAGCAACATGATGTGATTTTTCAGTGATTATCCTGGTTAGAGATTCATGAGTCTAACAGGCAACAGGCAGTTGCTGAGGCAAAAGCTCAGATATGGGAGGAATTTGGTGATGCCTTGGATAAAGACTCTCGGTCGGCTCCAAGGAGATTCTGGCAAACCATCAGGCGGCTGAGGAGGGGAAAGCAGCTCTTTACTAACACTGTCTTCAGTGAAGGTGGGGTGCTGTTTACCTCAACCAAAGACCCACTGAGCGAGGTGAAAGTTTCTACAGAAAAAAGAAACAGCTGAAAAACACTCCTGATTGTTTATGTGTGTCTCTATTGTGTTTGTGCATCAGACGTTTGTGGTGAAAGTAGAGCGCGAGGGACAGCAGGAGGTCCAGCTTGTTCAGAGAACATTTGAGGAGTTTCAGGAACTACACAGCAAACTGCGGCTTGTTTTCCCCTCATCCAAACTGCCCAGGTACACACAAGTACATACAAGTACATACAAATACACATTTAAACTGGAGACACACAACTACACACATAATTGTTGGTACAATATCAAACAACACAATGTCTACAACTCAGCCTTATTTCACCCAAAAACAACACAAATATAATGAGACTGTGTTCCAGGTGTAGTTCAGGTGTATTTAATGTGTACTCCAGGTGTAGTTCAGGTGTATTTAATGTGTACTCCAGGTGTAGTTCTGGTGTATTTAATGT